ATGATATTCATATTTGCTGTTGTTCGACATTGAATATTGGGGAAAAGGACAAATAAATACTTTGGTAAATGTTCTTTTTAAGATAAAGACATTGAGCTTTCAAAGACTGATACCATTATTACATTGATCTGCGTACAAGATTAAATGCCTGTTTAAATGTTTCTATTTATAAAATCGAACATTCTCGTGCCTTGAAGCCACTGCTTTAAAATAATGATATCTGATTAAGCTTGTATCTTAAACCTTTTTTATCTTTATTAATATCAATGCTCTGAAATGATTTAAACATTTATGACAACTTGAAGTAACTGTTATCTCTAATGGTTGCATACAAACTTTCTTTTCAAATGATTTATGTTTTAACTTTCATAAACACTTCAAGTTTTATTTCATTTAAAATGTCAGGGACTTTCTATTATTAAAATGACTTAAACATAATGCCGAAGATAAAACATTCTAGATTCGCAAAAAAAAGATTATTTATTGAAGTTTAATAGATTAACACACATAGTGTGTTTACTGTGTTATGTAAGCCGCACTACAGGTATATTAAGCATGTACCTTAGAAATCAATCTACAAAATATAAGAGAAAGGCTGATGTAAGCTTAGAATTTGTTTGTCAAAATTAATAACAACATCATCGTCAAAATGTATAATTCATGAGGGAATATTACCACATTAATTCTGTAATACAACATCGATTAAATCCAGTTAAATTAGGCAAGATATTGTAATGTACTTACTAATAAAACTTAAATGATCATAGTCACACAATTTCTAATAATTATCACCATGGGCGTGTAATTTTGATATTTGAAATGAAAAATAAAAGTAATTATCTATTGAAAAATAAAAGCAATTTTCTCATTTTGTATGAGAATAAAAACAATAATTATTTTAAATTTCATTAACGTAAAGAATGACTGGAAAACTCACTTACATTTGCAAAAACGGAATGTAACATGTTGTATGATCATTCGTAAGCGTGCAAACGTAAGCAATAAGAATTTCGAATTTCTACTTTTATGTCAGAATGTCATTTTATGATAAGAAGTTGTTACAATGTTTCATAGAAATGATAATGACAACGCAAGATGCCTGACATGTAATAGTTGCAGGGTAATGTAGTGATATTTATCATAGATAGTCGTACGTCCAAAATACACCATTAGTCGATTAAAATTGATATAAACATGTTATATTAAACATTAATCTTTGACCATTAAATGCGCACTTTTACTTTAAATTTCGAAATGTCCTTTGTTATTGAGTAATCAAATTGATCAGCTGACAACGAAGTTTAGTCAGACTTTAGGGATGTCCAAGCTAATCTGCCACTGTCCTTTTGTCATCGGCAAGTTATAGTCGCCGCATATGTACAAGTAACGAATATCGTTTATATTCCACTTGACTTGTCATTTCATTGATGGATTCTAAAATAGTTTTTTAGACAGTAATATGTCTGTCTATTATGAGTGTTTTAAGCATGCAAGATAAGTCCTTAAAGCATAGTTAAATATTAAATAAACGTAATAAATCACAATTATGCATTTCAACCTGATTTGCTGAGTACATGCTAGTACCTACTTATATTTTACAAAATATATTCTGAACTACGAAGTGACTACATTTTGATTTACAGCGTCTGTTCATAATAAGAAATTATTTAAAATAGCAAGACAAGACAAGACAATTTGTTTATTTAAGTCTCATTTTTGTACATACATTAACAAATATTACAAAGTTATAAAAGAAATACGAGTACAATACCACTCTAAACAAGTTTGAGAGAATAAGAACATAATCATAAAAACACATTTAAAACAATAGCATGTATATAAGCTTTTAGTATTATATATCTAATAATGCTATTAATCCATGATGGCAATGTAAGAATGTATGTACATGTATATACTAAAAATACTATAACCAACATCCATATATTCAATATACATGTACTCTTATTTATTTTTCAAACATCGAAGGTCAATACAATTAAATAATGTTCAAAATGTGTATATCATCATGTGTATATGCACAATCTCAATCAGCTTACTATTTATATATGCAGCTTTGTATAAACTACTTAATAAAAATTAATGGTTTCTCAGGGACAGAGACGTGTTACACTTTTGGCAATTGCTTTTCACATTCACCATGTCTAATTGATTGGTAACTTTCATTTAACAAATATTTCTGCCTTTCTTTCCTTTGAAATATAAGTTTTGGTTTATGATAATATAGCAAATGATAATATCTTTAATAAATCAAACAGGTTTACGACTTTATTTTAGCGCGTTTTTTTTAAAGGAAATTTTGATTGATATTCTCTTTTCAAATTTCACACAAAATACATATGCATCACAAATGAAAAATAGGCTTAATCCTCTGAGTTATGTGTAAAGATTCTATACCCAGAGACCAAAATAGTTTTTGTCATTAAGTATGTTCAGATATAACACTGAAAGAGTGATGTGTTTTTCTTCCAGATATCTATAATCGTTTTAATATTGTAAAGAAAATATCATCTATTTAATCAAATTCATGAATGCTTGATTCTAGTATATATAAAAGTAATTTTTGATCAATACAAAGATAAAAAGCTTAAGATATGATGTTCTAGATCCTTGTTGTGTAATCTCGTTATTGTTCCCTTGCATCACATATTTAATCTTTACTGCAAGAAAAAAGATGTCTAATGTATGGTTAATTTGGATTAAAATTCACTTTCGCTTTTGTTTTAGCCATTATACTATTACCGTTGATAGCGTTATTGAGAGAAACCATTGATCAATGTCCTCCAGCAACATGATACCAATTGATGCAAAAGAATATGTCTTGGGAGATAATCAGAATTTTATAAAGTTTATATTGACTTTATAAAATGTAAATCGCTGCAAGCAGGGTTCGAACCTGCGCGGGCAATGCCCATTGGATTTCAAGTCCAACGCCTTAACCACTCGGCCATCACAGCAGTGTTATAGATCTTTAACAACTCGTCAAAATAAGTGATGAATAAGTCAATAAGTTTTGTGATAACCTGCATAGATCCATGACCTACCTTATTCTAATTATCTGATAAGTCAATACAATCAGAATGTCAACCTCAACCTATTTGTGAACAAAAGAGCACATGTCAATGTTTGTGGTTAAATGTTTTGTTATTCAAATAAAAGGTCCGAATAGGGATCTTATAAATGGGAAGGAAAAAGATCTGTTGTAGGGATCTATCAATAATAATACTTCGTTAGGGGATCAAAACGTATTATTAAATTATAAAACTTATAAAAAGCATGCCTTATATACACCATGCTGTTTGACCCTGGAATATAATAAGTAAATGGCCCCTTTATTAGTATTTCTTAAAATCTCTTGAAATGATTTGTAAGCCTTTATATATACCACAGCCAGTGATAATTATTATTATATTATCATTAAATTACAATCTCCCAATTGTAACTACAACATATATAAAAATATTCAAGAATATTTTGTCAAAATGATGGGTGTAAAATTATAAAGTTTATTTGGATAGGATCAGATAACACAATTTAAAATGTAAAATTGTATGAATGGGTTTGTGTTTCAAATTTAAACATAGTTCACTGTTTGTTTAATGACGTTAGATATTGATAAGAAAAGAAAAGAAAAACGTAACATGTTAAGTTCAACAGTGCAAGTAAAGTATAGTGCCTTACTGTCGGTAATGCTTTCAGATTATAACAGTATTTGTTAGTGGTAATATTATAAACAGCACATTGGGTTTGAGAACAAGAGGCCGCTTTTCGTGGAGTGGCACTGACGTGTCATTTGATAACCGTTGTATGAGCACATCTGCGGATGCTACTTAATAATTATTCAAAATTTTATCATTTCATGTTAAGTTCTGATTTCTGCTTAAGCCGGTGCAAGGGGACATGAACCGTAATTTGCAGTTTCAAGTTAATGCACATGCTCAATCAAAATGAGCCTGTAACATTTTTCATTTTGCCGTTATGGACGTTCTTCAGCGATTCTGTTCTCTCTATTGTGAAAAACAGTAAAAATGTTATTCCCCGTAAACACATCTTTTATCTTTAAACTGTTGAAAGAGGTGTTTTTGTCTGTCTGTTTTACAAATACTGTATGGAACTATTTTTAGATATTTTTACTCATTCATAATAACTTATTTTTGTAAACAGGCATATGTGGCGTACGGTTCGTGTTACTTTTCAAGTATGAATATTTCATTATAAGGATTAATAACAAAACTGACAATATATGTTAATGTTCTAGCATATTATATTCAAAGCGTATTATCTCTGTATTGATCGATGATTTCAAAATCAGTTTTAAATTATATAAAGGAACTTGATTAATGAGGTGGTTTTATATATAACATTTAGATTAACATAACTATAATGATCTTGCATTTAAACATTATTAAAGAGTGCAAATAACTATCATGGTTATTTTGTCCTCTGAATATAATTGATTTTATTAACTATCCATTTGTGATTAAAATAATACTTTTCGGGAAGAAAAAACAAAATTGTAAGGATATTGCTTTGACTCTACCACTTGCTTATCATTATATACAAAGTATGTATACTGACTTGATAAGAGGATAATCTTTGCAATGTGATTGTTAATCGAATCTTTATTTTCAAAATAAAAAATAAACATTGAAAAACAGAAATATTTCAAATAAGTGGAATTTTTCATTATTGGCTTGCTTTCTTAAAATAAATAAAACGTTTTATCTCCGGTAAAAATAAAGCTATTTGGCTGTTTGTATGGTATATAGTATGCATATCTATAAAAATGTTTGTTTATTATGACATTTTGTTGTTTCCACGAGTACGACTCTTTCATTCATTTTTTAGAACCGGTTGGTTCTTGGAACGGATTCGAGATTGTTTCAATACGCTTATATAGCTTCCAACATAGTACAAATGCAATAAATTCGTATAAACTAAGTATTCAACAATCAGTTCATAATTCTTAATATGCATCATATCAACGATTTTATCACCTTTTTCTTTACCTTTTCAGTGGTTGACAAGCTTTCGGTTATATATCACAAATATAGCACTTGACATTTTTAAGCTTGATGAAGTACCACATACATTGTATCTTTTGTTTAGTAAAGGCGACTTATCGAATATAAATGAGGCAATTGATCATGCCTCGCGCGGAAAGAACATCATAAAACACTCAACTATATTGGCATTATACAGCAACGCTTATTGTGCTCCGGTGGTTTACAGAATTGCATTACATTGCATAAACGGTTATTTGAAAGGGAAAGGTATCTTAAAAACATAATGACAAATATAGATAACAAAAAGACAAAGGAGATAAAATGTGGATGATATTATACGAAAAGAGGATTTAAACATTATCAAAACAGTTTATTGAAATGAGAATTTTAAACCAGGGTATTTAAAAATAAAGTAATATAATGATAATAAAGAAGATATGGCATGCTTAAATCTTCGCTATTAAAAAGGAGAAATAATTGAAATAAACACTGTTTAGATACAGTAGCAAAGAATACTGTGATTGTTGCGAGACGTCTTCAAAACTGCAGTACTTTTTGGATCTGTATAATTAAATGATATTCAGATATATGGGCACTTTTTAAAGATAAACCAGTTATCTGGAGCATACGTTTAAACTAATGGTGAGTTATTTTTAAAATTGAATTGAAGGTTTGTTGTTATTAGATTTATTTTACAATTTTAAATATTTGCTGTAATTAACTATGGTGTTGTTCGAGAAAGATAAGTAATACAAGATAATAAATGACACATGATTGTACTGTTGTTTGATCTTTTATTTGTTTATCAATATTAGGAGGGGATAACAATTAAATACCCTCTTGAAAAGTTTGTTAAGTATTTTTGCTTACTGTTTCTAACATTAATTTCGTTGATACGTTTTTTCCTTATTAGGTAAATTCTTTGCATTTTATTCTTTATTTTCGCATATAATATTATATTAAAAGAATGACTGGTTTTGGACTCTTACATGTTAATCGTTAATCTAAATCATACAGCTTGCAAATCAATATTTATCATTATCATATACCATTTTCTTTACTTTTGTTGTTTCGCTTCAATTATTTGGTGCGTAATGCACTTTTAATGTGAAATCAATTCTAAGGCAATCAGGTAATAGCTAGCATTTCCAATATAGATTAAGATTAAAATGTAGTTAACATTTATTTCCTTATTATATAATTTTCTCTTTTTGACTTTAATTGCGATTGCTCTCCAAGATTGATTTTCAGTCGTCTCGTATTTCATACAGAAATCATACGTAAAACAGTAATGCAAAAGTTAGATATCAGTAATCATTTAAACATTGATAGTGAGTTTACACTCAAAATCTCTTTCAATCTTCAGCATAAGAAAGTTATTATGCCTATCTAAGGGTAAAATTTAAATGACCCGGTAATACATGTAATCATCAATGTTTGCCATCATTCATTTTAATTCTATAATTTACTTCGCATGAACGATAATTAACTCACGTGGCCCAATGAAACTTCTGTAAATATCTATCGGAATTTGCCTGTAATATTCAGTTTATAAAAAGAGTGAGGCAGTGTTTATAAACATTTTCCAATATCAACTGTTGGTCAATCATCATTTCAACAATCAATCTTCCGAAGTATATGGTCAATTCAGCTTGACTTGACAATGAAAACATGAACATAATATTACTTGAATGTTATATTTTTACCTTTTTACAGTTATGGACAATATGGCGACAACTTTTATTAAAGAAAACTTGAGCGGCTACAATCTCCCGCCTGACACTCTAGTAGAAATACACACTATATTAATGCGCCGATTTACCGCCAAATTTTCAGAAGGGCTCTCACCTGAAGGACGTATGGCAATGGAACAAACAGCCATGCAAGAAACGGATAATACAACAAATTCAGGACAAGAGGATATTGATAATGTAGAAACAAGTACGTATATAAGGCGCAGATTGCAGAAGAGGAGATCTAAAACTATTTCATTTACTGGCACTTTTAACGAGTCTTCAGCCAGTAAAAGTAACAAAGATGCAGGAAATAAAAGTGATTTGAAAAGGAGACGCAGTAGTAGTGTAAACAATGATAAAGAATTGGAACTTACTGGCTACAGTGACACGTCTGAGAAATATAATGATGAACAAGTGGTAGAGTCAAACAAATTACAATCAGTAGAAAAATGTTTGGTTTGGATAGAAACGCAAAATAAAGATCCGAAGTAAACATTCCAGTTATAAGAATAGTCTAATTCTCCATCTGATAAAAATGGATTGATATTATGCATTTGTTGTGGGAAAATATGACATGCAAGCTGTTCCATAACTTATAAATTAGTTGCTATAAAGAACAAATGTTGGAAAGTTATTGACATATTGTGACCATAAAACTTTAAGTTCAATGAGTACATTACCCTTTTTATTTTCAAGCGATGATTGAAATAATCAATTTTGTTTGACAAAGTTAATGATGTAATTTTCCCACATGAATAATGCATTAAGACGATGTTGTTGTAGACAAATATTGACATGCAAATACTGATCTTACAATGACTTTATATCTCTATTGAGGAGACTATTTTATCAGATGCATACTTAATATGCCTACAAAACGATTTTTGTACTTTAAAAAAACGTTTATAAATAATAATGAGAGAATATTATTTGATAGCTTTCGCTATTGTCAATTCCACATTGTCTGCAATAGAAAACCCCTGAAACTTTAAATCAAATTTAAGTGTTTTATGACATTCATGATATTAATCATATGAATCGAGATTTGTATGCTGTCGGAGGAGATAAGATACACTTTATATTTATATACACTCAAATCTTTTGGAGTATATTGACTTATAAAGAGACAAGGGTATAGCGATGTAATAGTGTTTTCAAAATGATTCTTCTCGACAATATAATATAAGGTTATGTAAACAGAAGTTTCTATTTAGGTATATCGACATAACCTTATACTGTATTTGTTAATGGGTTATATGTAGTATAAATCCTGATTATAAAACGGATGTAACTTTTTCTAATGTACACAATTATCAACATTAAGTAGTTAAAGTAGTGTTTATAATTATAAGAATGTTTCTTTTCGTAAATGTAATATTTATCTATTCATCTTCATTTTAGCTTCTGTATATTAAATACCAAATTATAGAGCGTGTTGTGTTAATACTATATTTACGTGTTTTTGTCAATTTAGTTTTAAAAACGACTTTCATAAATTCGTGTGCATGATAAATCAAAATATGTCTGTTTATAAAGTTTTTCGATCATTTAAATCCCGGTTGAAAAAATGCACTTTTAACGGGCACTATAAGGAAATGAAAAATTTACAACATAGGTCGGGTATATACCATAAAAGATTACACAAACTTTACCGTACGGAAATCTGGTTTGGGCACTTTTCTGAACTTAATCTTGGATGTTAGAAGGACACTTTTTCAGAAATGAGAAACCTTTAAGTAATCTACAATATCATCCTTATGAAAAATGTTTTTACCTTAAAACAAATAGTAACATTCAGCTAACAATCCACATAAGTAAAATGGTTGTTTCTACTAAAACTTTAATATGTATACAAATTTTACACTACCCCGTCCATTTTAACACGTGTTTGACCATTTCCCTACTTAGAAAACGTTATTTTAAAAACTCTCTAAAAATTTACCAAAATGAGTTCCTGTTTTCAAAGATTTTCCTAATGTTCAAAGATTTATTGGTTGATCTTGTAACATATTAAATACTTTTATCGTGCAGTTTTGATTTTCTTACTCTGAAAATATCAGGTACGATATTTGTTATTAGATTTTAGATAAAAATACCTGTATTGATTAAATAATCAAAATTTAACATTTTTTGTTCCCAAAAGGTATATGAGAGATACATGATGTTAAAAGAAGCATAGAAAGAAAAAAAAAGATCCGTCTGGAGTTTGAACCCACGACCCTCAGGTTCAAAGTAGCTAACAGTAGTTCTAGCATTTTTGAATACTCTTCAAAGCGGAGGTAATGCATAAAGATGGTCATACCTTAATCTTATCAAAGTTTTTTTTTTCGGGAATTATATAACTTCATTTTTGTTTTCAACGAAAAGTATAAAACTTCATATGCTGCATAATCCAACAGAAATTAGTTGACTCATGAAATCAATTTGTCATAGATAGTTTTGTGTACTCAAGTAATATACTGTTTGAAAATTTGCTTCTTTAATCAACTGGTATAACGCAACCAAAACAGAATAATCTAATAAATAAGAAATTCAATCAAATAACGTTTGTTTACAATAAAATATACACCATTACAAAAACAGGAAGAAAAAATAAATCCAAACTGATCGGTGATTGATGTAATTTGATATAAACTAATTATGATGTGTTCTTTAGTCATTTTAAAATATTTGATTCTGTTGAAGAAGGTATTCAATTATTACTGTCTGTTTTTTCCAAATATCAGGTTAAAGAGATTTTTTATAAGTTAATTACAAATATCTTAAAATAGCGAACGGCCCAAGTTACTTTTAAAATATGAATATTTCATCACCCAAAGTGACAACTAATTTCAATATTTTAGCATTTTATCTTCAATGTTAATTATCTCCGTACTGATTGATAATTTCAAAAAACTTCTTTCAGATCTAAAAACTAGCGTTCATCAAGTTGACGTAGTTAATAATTCTATTTTTATTAAAGGGTTAAATGAATTTAAATGATTTATAATGAAACCAACATTTCCTTTGACAATCTGCAAAAGTATTGTAATTACCAAACGTTATTTCAAATGACATTATGCCCATCCAAGGGTATATAGTGAGTGAACGGAAGATCAAAATATGTTTTCATTTTGCCATTATTCCTTTTAATTTAATAATAAAGTTCGCATAAAGAATAAATAACGCATAGATTCAACCGAAATTCTGTTAATATCCATTGGAATTTACCTTAACGCTTTGTTTATAAAAAGAGTTTATTTATTTAAATTTAAGGCAGATTTATAATTTCATCTTAAACATTTTCCAATATCAACTGTTGGTCAAACACTATTTTGACAGTGAATCTTTTGAAATATAAAGTCAGTTCAGCTCAACTTGACTATGAAAATATGGGCATAATGTCACTTTCAGTTATATAATAATTATTATAGATTGGCATTTTAAGATCAAGATATCTAAATGTCTCTTTACTTGTGATGCAAATTTAGTTTATGGTAATATTTATAGTTACCGTTTTCAAGAACACGTGATAAAAATTAAATGGGTAGTATTAACACTGTAAAAATACGGCAATTACGTTTTGACATTGTCAACCAACAAATTAGCTGGTTCATTTGCTCTTACAATATTATATGCTGTTAGTTAAACAATTTATAATTTAGAACTGATTTATCAGTCTTTCAGTGTTGATGCGGTATTACCACAGGCATTTTTCATTTGTTTTCATTAAGGTAATATCTACTCATGTTTCCTCTTTTTTCCCCCGGATGATAGTTATTAATATTAATCATTATATTTCCATTCGCTTAAGGGGGAATATATATTGCGTAAGTCGCTATTATCAAAATGTTTGGTCTTATTTTGTCACTTGTTAAACATTGCTTAAAGAAAATCATACACAGCGCTTGTGTGCCTCTCAGATTGACGATTAGTATGTTCAGTATGGTTGGTATAATGTTACTTTTCTCCAGATATTGTCATTGATCTTGCTGTCGTCTGTCGGATAATTTTACAAGCAATTACTTATTGATGAGAAATGAATGGCGAACCAATCACATAATGTATGACTTAAATAGAAAATATTGATTGGATTCAGTAAATTTTTACCTAAAGGATTTATCAAACTTAAACTGATTTTTTTAATTAGATTAAACTGATTATATATTAATTACGAATGACCTTTATATTCTAACAACATTCAAGAATTTATAGATATAACTGGTGCTGAATCATTTTAGTTCAATGATAACTAACTTGCTTAAACTATTTATCTTTGTTAATTTTACATAGTAAACTGATAAAACCATTTGTATTATCTACAATTGTAATATCTTTTTTTTCCGACAACTCTGCGTTGGAAAAATGTTTGCTGATTTAGTATGGACTATCATGTGTTAAAATGTTTTTTGAAAAGTTATTTGAAATATACCTTGGTCAAATAAACTTCAGTACAAATTATGGAATACTGCTTTTTTAATCATTATTTTATAATAAGAATTTACAGTCGAAAACGTTCAAGAAAAAGTCATGAACAATGACGAATAAACATTTGGACAAGAAAACTTTATTCAATGTCATCCGACCTGTCTCAAGATACTCTGGTAGAAATACCAGTAATATACTGTTGAATATTCAACGTCAGATGTTTGAAAGGCTAGTGACCAGAAGGGTGTAGGACAACGGAGCTTACCTCAAAGCAAAAAAAACAAACTCGAACAACAGCAAATTCAAGAGAATATTTTAACGACATTGATAGTTAAGAAACAACTAGTTGGCAGAAATGGAGTCCTGAGACGTATATGCAATAATATCTGGAGATTACGAACCTGAAGTTCATGCACAAGTACATTTACCTTGTTTACACATTCAGCAAAACTTTTAATTGCATAAGTAAAATAAAAGAGTTTACTTTTTCATGCGAATGACGCATTTAGATGATGTGGCTATTATCAAAATATTATAAAGCAAATAATGATCTTATATTGTGTTATTCTCTACTATTAAATAGAATGCTTTATAACATACATATTCAGTCTGCTTACAGTTCAGTTTAAAAATATAAAATGTTCAAATTAAAACAATGAATGAATGAATCTAATCTGGTATAATCTTCTCCATTGCGATTTTAATAACATTTTTAAAAAGGAAAGCCACTTGAATGAAAATAGGAATTGAAATGTTTTATGATATTTGTACGAAATTTGTATGCAGTCGGTACAGACAAGATTTACTCCAGTTTGCCAAAAATAATAAAATTAGTTATTATATTGACTTATTATTAAAGGAAAACATAACGACTTTGCAAATGCTAAGTAATATATATTCTTATAATTTAAAACATATTGTTCTTCTAATAACATCAGAATTATCAACGGAATCGTATACTGGTACTCTATTAGTTAATAAATAAAAGTACTGTCTGTTAAACGGATGTTACTCTCCATATATAGATAGGTGAAAGTCTCATTGAGGTTAAGAATTAGTTTTATAGAATGTTCACTGAATTACTATTTTCGTTATAGCAAATTAATTAACGAATGAGGCTCATAAATGTTCATGCACAAGGTAAGTCAATACATTTTCTTTGTTTTAGCACCAAAATTGTGTTAACAAACTATTTGTTACTTTATTTATTTCTGTGAAAATGTGATAAATTCGTCCAGTACTAAAATTCTAATTGTTCTTCCATACAGCTACAATTCAATAGACATAAATAAGTCAGTTTTAATAACGGCAAACTTATGAAAGTTCCCCCTGTAATAAGTTTGATACGCACTTTCTTTGTTTTGTCAGCTAATTAAACTCCTCATCAATATGATCTAAAGATCTAGCAAAACACAAATTAAAACATAGGTTGGAGAGAACACTCATTAAATATTAGACTAAGTGATGTTTGTAAACTGACCAACATGACGGATCTACTGGATTCCTGGAAAGCAGCAAAACAAAACGTAAAATGGGGTTATTTGCCGAGGAATAATATAAGGAAGCGACATTAACGCATTCAAAAGTAAATAAAATAAATATCGTTTTGTTTTCTTATCGAAGACAAATGGAATAAAGTATTTCATTCATTCATTCATTCATGTTTCTTATATTTCTAAAAATTGTCCGTTTAGACGCACTTGAAGTTTAAATATGGCTTAAAATGATTAAAATAGTGTACTTACATTTCTGTAAATGACCGTTTTGTCACACTGGAAAATAAAACAATTTTTATTGTTAATGAAACAGTATATTTCAAGATTTAAAGTGCTTTTTATGTTTCATTATCATTGACTTTTCGCTTGTCTACAAAATGGCTGTTGGCATTTACTTTTAAATATTTTAACACAATACATAAATAAAAGCAACAGACTAAAGGTCGTCCCAACTCCGCCCATCTCGAAATAACTGACACTATACACAATAAAGCAATGAACATTATAATTATAGTGGAGTTTATTTGATACGAAAATTGTTTACTGTAATCATCAAAATATATTGTACGCAGGTCTGAATTCCTGTACAAACATTAAAGATTCATTTTCTTTATTATATTTCGTACTTTGGCCATACTGCATGCGAACAGAGTCGCTTTTATTGGCAAGTAAATTTACAGATATGTGTTTTTTGTTAGTTCAAATGCCTCAGGACGGAAGACAAATATTTTTCACTTTTGTACGTGGAGTTGAACATCAACGTCTGATATAAGTGATGATCTTTGTGTAAATATTGATTGGTATACTTTTTCAATATATATAATATATTATAAGTATAAATATTCACTGTAGAAAGATAAATCAGAAAGGAAAACACATATCATATGCAGCGCACTTTCCTAAATGGAATAAGTGATTAAACTTTGTAAATTAGTTGTTCTGATTTAATAAAAAAAATGTAGGTATAATATTCATTAAATGGTTTGTAATCAGTATAATTATATTAAATATTACGACTGCATTATGCATGCTATAAATAGAAATAAATTAATACAAATTACTGTATGATAAATCATTACGTTACGTTACATTCTTTAGTAAAATCGAATTAATAAGAAGATATGGAGAATTCAAATATACACTGTATGATAAAATATTACAAGATTGTGTGCCAAATATATTTGAGATTTTTAAGACGTTAATAACAGTGACTTTCGTTGCTGTTTTTGTGCCACATCTAAGTTGTTTCAATTTTGAAATGAAAATAAGTCAACGAAAATGTACCTTTTAAGACTATATTTATATAATTTCAGTCCTAAATGGATATAACTTGCCCGCAGATGATTTAATAGAAATACGCGGAGTTCTTCTCAGAAGATTTGGTGCAAAATTTTCCGAAGGTCTTTCTCCAGAAGGACGTATAGCCATGGAAGAGGCTGCTAAATGTAAGGTGGACGGCGCAATACGTTTACAACAAACAAAAGACAAAGACGGTAGTAATACAACTAATAAAGATACATCAACAAAAGTGACAAATTCAACATTTAATTGAAATTAAAGTCGTTCACAGATACGAATGATAAAAAACACAGCCATTAACGTTTGATATAATAAAAGGACAAATGAATGAAAAATCATTGCCATGTGCTCACTTATCACTCGTTTTGTGATTTGTTATGCCACTTTTAGTAAGTTAAAAATGAAAAAAGACAATTGTAAACTTTATTTTTTATAATGAATTACGTGAAAACTGATATGTAATTTCAAATGTGGCTTTTTGTAGAAGGCCTTTAAAGCAAGAAAGTACACATATTTGAACGATAACAGGCGCTAAATATTTATATTTAAAAGAAACCAATAATTTAAGTGCAAATAAACTAGAAATTAAATGAAAGCGTTAACGATTTGACAAATTGATAAATCTTGGTTTACTTTATAAAAAGAGAATTTCAATCATGTACAAATTTCGTAAGTGTATCGTTTTGATCCTTTTCATTCATTGTAATAGTTTTGTAATAATCTTCTTCTTAAATTTTACAACATCTATATAAATATACACACTAATATAAAAGTGTGCTTATGAAAAGTATAAGTATTGGGTGAATTATATCTATACATTATCTGTTTCTATTTAGTCTTTACAAACACCCGTTCTCTCTGAATGAAACAGTGAACAGAGGGGCTTGAATGCGCCGTAGAATTTATCACAATTTAGTTATGGTCGGTTCAAATGCTGCTAAGCCCTTAATAAATATTTTTATAACTAAGTTCATTCCATCAATCAAAGGCATCATTATTCTGAATATTTGTGTAAATAGTGGCTGATAATACATTTTATGTATTGTAATCAAAATAATATGAAATATAACTTTCATATTTTTTTGTGAATCCATTGAAGATCGCAAAAGAATATACCATAGAATGAAAGCTTATTTTCCCAGGATGATAATTATTAACGTTAATCATTATATCTCCATTCGCTTAAGGAGGAAATATATAGTGTGTAAGTCGTTATTATGAAAATGTTTGGTCTTATTTTGTCACTTGTTAAACATTGCTTAAAGAAAATCATACACAGCGCTTGTGTGCTTCTCCGATTGACGATTAGTTTGTTCAGTCTGGTTGGTATAGTGTCACTTTTCTCCAGATATTGTCATTATTCTTGCTGTCGTATGTCCGATAATTTTACATGTAATGTCTTATTGATAAGAAATGAATGGCGAACCAATCACGTAATGAATGACTTAAATAGAAAAATATTGATTGGATATTGATTAATTAGGTTTACTTAGTAATTCTTTATCTAAAGGATTTATCAAACTTAAACTGATTAGATTAATTAGATAAAACTGACTATATATTAATTACATGTACGCATGACCTTTATATTCTAACAACATTCAAGAATTTACAGATGTAACTGGTGCTGAATCCTTTTAGTTCAATGGTAACTAACTTGCTTAAATAATTCATCTTAGTTAAATGTACACAGTCTGATAAAACCATTTGTGTTATCTATAATACTCAAAATCTTTTATCTCCGACAACTCAACAATGTTTTTGCTGGTTTAGTATGGATTATCAGGTGTTGAAATGAATTAATAAGTTATTTGAAATATACTTCGGTCAAATGTACTTCTGTACAATTTATGGGATACTGCTTTTTAATCATATGTCATTAGTCGAAAACGTTCAAGAAAAGGTCAGGAACAGTAAGGAACTTTTGGACAAGACACATGAACAATGAGGAATAAACTTTTGGACAAGAAAACTTTGTTCGAAATCATCTGGCCTGTCTCATGATTCTCTGCTAGAAACACCAGTAATATAATGTTGAATATTCAACGTCAGGTTCTTGAAAGGTCTCTGACCAGGAGGGTGTAGGGCAACGGAGCTTACATCAAAGCAAAAACACTTGAAAAACAGCAATTTCAAGAGAATATATTAACGACATTGATAGTTAAGAAACAAATAGTTGGCAGAAGAAGAGACCTGATACTGTCTTACCCGAAGTTCATGCACAAGTACATAAACTTTGTTCACACATCCATCCCAAACTTTTAATTGTATAAGTAAAATAAAAGAGTTTACTTTTTCATGCGAATGACGCATTGAGATGATGTGGCTATGAATAAAATATTATAAAGCAAATAATGATCTTGTATTGTGTTATTGCCTACTATTTAGTTGAATGCTTTATAACATACATATAAAGTATGCTTACAGTGAAGTTTAAAAATATAAAATGTTCAAATTAAAAAAAATGATGGTGTCAATCTAATCTGGTATAATCTTCTCCATTGTGATTTTGACAACCTTTTTATAAAGGAAAGCCACTTGAATGAAAATAGGAATTAAAATGTTCTATGATATTTGTACGAAATTTGTAAGCAGTCGGTACAGACTCCAGTTTGTTAAGAAAGTTAAAATTAGTTATTATAATAACGAATGAGACTCATTCATGCGCAAGGTAAAAAGATACATTCTTTGTTTAGCACTACAATTATGTTAACAAACCGTTTGTTACTTAATTTATCTCTGTGAAAATGTGATACTGAAATATATCAGAAATAAAGTTCGCATAGTACTTGATTCTAATGACAATTAATAGTCAAATTGTTCTTCCATACAGTTACAATTCAATTGACATAAATAAGTCAGTATTAATAACGGAAAAAACATGAAAGTCCCCCCCTGTAATAAGTTTAATATGTACTTTCATTGTTTTGTCAGCTAATAAAACTCCTCATTAATCAGATCTAACAATGTAAAGCAAAAGACAAATTAAAACATAGGGCGGAGAGAACACACATTGAATATATTAGACTAAGTGATGTTTGTTAACTGACAAACCTGACGGATCTACTCGATTCCGTGAAAGCAGCAAACTGATACGAAACGTAAAACGGGGTTATTTATTGAGGAATAATATAAGAAAATGATATTAACGCATTCAAAAAAAATAATAATATCGTTTTTGTTTTCTTAACATAAAGTATTTCATTTATTTATTCATTCAGTCATGTTTCTTATATTGCTAAAAAATTGTCCGATTAGTCGCAGTTTAATTACGGCTTAAAGTGATAAACACAGTATACACATGTACTTTCATTTCTGTTAAATGACCGTTTTTTCACACTGGAAATAAAACAATTTTAATGTGATTGAAACAATATACTTCAGATTCAAAATGCTTCATTATGTTTTCATACTTATTTTCGTTTTCATTGTCCACAAATGGATGTTTGTATTTTAACACAATACATAAAAAAAGCAACAGGCTAAAGGTCGTGTCATCTCCGCCCATCTCGAAATAACTGACAATATACACAATAAAGCACTGTACAATATAATTATAGTAGAGTTTATTTGATTCGAAATTGTTTACTGTAATCATCAAACTATATTGTACGCAAGTCTGATTTCCTGTACAAATATTACAAATTCATTCTCTGTATTATATTTCGTACTATGGCCATGATGCATGCGAATAGAGTCGCTTTTGTTGGCAAGTAAATTTACAGATATGTGTTTTCTATTAGTTCAAATGTCAAAGGACGGAAGACAAATATTTTCACTTTTGTACTTGGAGTTGAACATCACCGTCTGATATAAGTGACGATCTTTTTGTAAATATTGATTGGTATACTTTTTCAATACATATGATATATTATAAAATATAAATATTCATTGTAGATAGATAAATCATAAAGGAAAACACATATCATTCGCAGCGCACGTTCTTAAACGGAATAAGTGATTAAACTTTGTAAATTAGTTGTTATGATTTAATAAAAAATGTAGGTATAATATTCATTAACTTGGTTTGTAATCAATATATATTTAGTTTTCCGACTGCATTATACATGGTATAAATAGAAATAAATTAATACAAATGACTGTATGATATGTTACATTCTTTAGTAAAATTGAATTTATAAGAAGATCAGGAGAATTTAAATATACACTGTATGATAAAATATTACAAAATTGTGTACCAAATATGTTTGAGATTTTTAAGAAGTTAATATCAGTGACTTTCGCTGCTGTTTGTGTGCTACATTTAAGTTGTTTCAATTTTGAAATGAAAATAAGTCAACGAAAATGTATCTTTTAAGACTGTATTGATTATAATTTCAGGCCTGCATGAGTACACAATGGATAGAATAGCAAAATTTATGCAAGAAAATTTAAATGGATATAATTTGCCCGCAGACGATCTAATAGAAATACGCGGAGTTCTTCTCAGAAGATTTGGTGCAAAATTTTCCGAAGGTCTTTCTCCAGAAGGACGTATAGCCATGGAAGAGGCTGCTAAATGTGAAGTGGACGGCGCAATACGTTTACAACAAACACAAGACAAAGACGGTAGTTATACAACTAAGAAAGATACAACAGCAAAAGTGACAAATTCAACATTTAATTGAAATTAAATTGGTTCACAGATACGAATGATAAAATACACAGTCGTTAAAGGGAGACACAGGCAAAATATTTTAGATTTTATTTTTCTATGCAATATTCTATAAATGTCATCGAAATGAATAGACTAAGCAGTCTAGGGAACAAAATTTTTTTCCATAATTATAAAGAAAAAAAATGTTGGTTTCCTAACCTGACCCGGGTCAGGTTAGAGCATTTAGATTTCACCATAGTTATCATAATGAACTATGGGAACGTAAAAGAACCTGTCAAATGAGTGACTTAGGCTTGTTTTTATCTTACAATATCCACAATTTTCTTTTAACTTCTAGGGATTGTAATTGTCAAATGACTTGTTTTAAAACTACTCGTTAGTTCTGTCTGCGTCGTTATTTCGTTCGTCATATGTAGATTTATTTAAGTGTTAAACTCACATTATAAAGTATTTATACAGAAAAAAACATGCTGGGACTTTTAATCACTTTTAAAAACTTCATTTTAGCGTAAGTTAAGTAAATATGGTAACTTTAATATTTTGTCATATATTTGCCTGAGTATCCCTTTAACGTTTGATATAATAGTAATGAAAAACCATTTAGATGTGCTCACTTATCACTAGTTTTGTGATTTATTATGCCACGTTTCGTAATTTTAAAAATAAAACAAAAGACAATTTTAAAGTTAAACAATAGAACTAAAGTGAAAGCGTTAACCATTTGATAAATTAATAAATCTTGGTTTACTTCACAAGACTCTAAATGGTCTTCAAATTTGGTAAATATATCGTTTTGATCCTTTTCTGACATTGTAATAGTTCTGTAATAATGTTTTATAAATAAATTTACAACATCTATATAAATATACACAATAATGTAAAAATGTGCTGATGAAAAGTATAAGTATTGGATGAATTAATTAAATCCATACATTAACTATTTCTATTTAGTCTTTACAAACACCCGTTCTCTCTGAATGAAACAGTGAAAAGAGTGGCTTGAATATGCCGTAGAATTTATCACAATTTAGTTATTGTCGGTTCAAATACAGCAAAGCTGTTCATAAATATTTTTAAAACTTAGTTCATTCGCTCATTCAAAGATATCATTATTCTGAATCTTAGTGTAAATAGTGGCTGATATTACGTTTCATGCATTATAATCAAAATGATATTAAATATAACTTTCACCTTCGTTTGTCAATCCATTGAAGATCACACAAAAATATACCATAGAATTAAAGCTATCATAAAATGTAGTTTATCTGCCTTTATGAATAAAATGTTTGTAGGAAATTTGAATGCTTTTTAAAATACTCTTATCATAATAATATAACACACATGTATGTTCTTTGTGAATATTTTTATTAAAAAAACTCATTTTAGAACGTGTTTTGTCTATATTTCTCCATAATATCTATTTCCTTTTTCTTTTGTATGTTATTAGACCTACTCATTTTTTAAAAGTTGTATTTCTAGGAACTGTTGGCCAGAACGTCAGATATATATATGCTTTTTCAAACAATACGGTTCATAGCGGACCATTAGATTTGTTCAGTTATTATCCAACTGACAAATTATTCTTTTGTTTTATGTATTTCATTTTGTTAAAGATCCTGTAACACAATTTTTTCATGGTTTTATTTCATAAATATGATGCTCAAATTAAGTTATTTCCCAATTTAACATTTCATGTAAATAAGTGAGGTAGTTAGAAATTTATTTTCCAATAAGAAATGAATTCATGTAATTTATTGATTAAATATAATGTGCACAAATATTTGCAGTACACATTTTAAATATTCTTTGATGTTTGAAAATTGTTTTATTTGCATAATTGTATACATATATAACTTTTTGCAAGTGTGGTATACACACAGTAACAATATCAATCACAAATATACAGGATCTTTAAGGATCAGTTTTATCGAAACAATGGAAATATTAAAATAGGAAAAATGGTAATATTTTTTCTTGACAGAGAATTTTCTTTTTGACATAATTGCACTAACTCCATCCATATTGTGCCAGGGCACACTTTTTCATGTTTTAAAATAGCTCATGTGATAAAATGTGTGTGTTACCTGTATTTTCTACTGTTATTTTAGAATTGTACAAAATTAAATAGGTTGAGGTTCTAGCTGCAATGATCTTTATATATTCCAGTATTGAATGATTCGGAGGTATATTGTCTGTCATTTTGTCTGTCAGTAATATTGTCTGTCTTTTAGGCATTCAGTCTATCCAAAAACTTCAACCTTGCAAGAAATTATGCCCCACTGTGTTGTGGAAAGGTATAGACAGCGGCTACTCATGTGTGCACGAAAGAGATATCAGTATTAATTTTTCGTTAAAAACCAAATATCGGGGCCTCATTTTACTTATAATATTTAGAATCAGGTTTTTATGGCGATGTGATTTACAAACTTCGTAAGATTTTAGGTCATGGTCAGTTTTCTGCTGTTTTTACTTAAATTATTAAACGTTTTATTAAAAGAGGTTATGACCCCTACTACTTTTTTATTGCATGCTTAGTGCTCAACCCTTTTACAGTTGGACGCTACGCTTTCCTCTTTTGATTACATCTGAGGGACCAAGTGGGAGACTCTATGATAGACAGTTCTTAAGGCTCTTTAGGACTAAATTGCCTTAATGTTCGTCATCTGCCTTGCTTCGTCGGGCCTTTGTAGGTGATTTTCTTGTTACTCTGTCTTCCTTTAGGACATTGAATACTTTTGTCGTGGTCATTGGGGTTTACTTTTATATGTTTCTATATGATCATTTTGGTGTTTTACTTATCTAACCTTTTGGAACCATAACAACAGTTAGAATTTCATTTGGCGGGATTCATTTTATTTACACTGTCTCGTTTATAGGAACATGCTGGGACTAAGAGTGAGTGAGGTTTGGTGGTTTGGTGCACCATTAACCGGTTATAACTCCCTAGCAGTACTTGTGCTGTTGACCGTTCCAAGGCGGCGCCCATCTGTGTTCCTCAGATATCTATCTTGTTTCATACTGTTTTGGTGACACTTTTGCTTGTGTCCCTTGTTGTTTTTCTCATCTACGGTAAGTATCTTCCCTTTTGTTTCTAGTTGTATTTCTTTAATTTACCGCCCCACCCGCGCCCCCTTTCCCCGGGTCGTCTCCTGTCCCCTTCCCCTTTGACTGTGTGGGCTTTTTATTAAATCATTTATTTGTTTTCTTTGAATTCCTTATCAGTTACATTATTATTATTTTAATGATAAGCCCGTCTGTGCTCTGTCTTGTGCCCTGTCCTGTTTTTGTTTGGGGTCCGCCTGGGCTCCTTGTCGCTGGTTCTTGTTGCTGGGTCGTGTGGGGGTTGCGTTCATTGAACGCCGACTTCCCTTGTTGACTTGTTTATCAATTTTTACAAATTATTATTCAGATAAATATTCAGTATATTTACAATAATACAGTCGTGCTCTTTATAACCACAATAATGTCTTTAAGTTATCGTTAAAAATAATATATTTGCAGAAAAAAGCATATATTTCTAAACATATGTTTAGATGTTCAAATTTTGTGAACTGTTAGGATCTGATAAAATGGATCGCTGCGAGCAGGGTTCGAACCTGAGCGGGCAATGCCCATTGGATTTCAAGTCCAACGCCTTAACCACTCGGCCATCACAGCTGCATATGCGATTAGGAAAAGCGTAATCCATTTTTTCATTGCTGTGTGAAAACATCTGTGATTGATGAAACAGACCATTAACAATTACAACATGTATATAAAAACCTGTTTAATCAGACATATAAACTGACACAGCTGGCAAAATCTGGTTCAATGATTTTTGTTAGAGTTATGGCCCTTCAATTATTTTTTATTTTTAAAGTTTGTCCTGATACAAGTCTCTTATACCACTAATGCAATTTCAATGAAACTTGACAGGATTGATTGGTAGCTCAAGTACTTGCACATATTACAAGGGTTTTCGCTTGAATGATTTTGACTGGGTTATGGCCCTTGAATAACAATGTGTTTTTGTGTTGCCATCTACACAGAAGCTTGTCAGAACTACTTCTCAGAAACTACTGGTGCAATTCTATCTATTTTTATAATCAGTATTGAGTCTAGTTGTGCATATTATTGGTATTTTAAGGTTTATTGATTTTTGTCAGAGTTATGGCCCATAAATGATTTTTATTTTTTAAAGTTTTGCTAGGACTACTTCTTTTATACTACATATGCAATTTAAATGAAACTTTATAAGATTGACGGGTACTTCAAGTAATTACTTATAATAAACAGGTTTAGCGATTGAATAATTTTACTGTGTTGTAGCCCTTGAATAAATAATGCGTTTTCCCTGTTAATGACTTTTGTGACATGCAAATACCTATCAAGAAACGGCACATGTGATCACTGATCGCTCTTGCTTTAATTAGTAGTAATATGGATGAACGAAACATAAGTAAATAGACTGATTTTGTTTAACAGTTGTGCGTTATATAAAAATGTAAAATAGATAGTATTTAGAAAGTGAACGAAAACTTTAAAAAGTTTCATACAGTTTACTAAAGACTGATTATCGTACTGTACAAGGTACACTGATTCCGAGACAATCACACCACGGAGCTGCTGCAAGTGTTACATTTGTTGGGTTTTTTGGCTCATATCTGCCCAAAGATAATTTGATAATATATATGATTGGTACAAATTTATTATCTTTGGTATTCTTTCTCTCAATTACAAGATGGTATTAAAGGAAACAGTATATATGGCATTGATGTGTTAAGCAAGTATGGACTATTATTATCTAACTAAAGATTTTATACAAATATAAAGCAGAACAAATACATGTAAATAGCTGACTTATTCCAGAATGGTTGAGACGTTTAAACCAGTAAAATGTCCACACATTATCGAACCTTTCCCGTCACAGATGTTCGTTTATTAAGCAGCTTATTTCAAATTTCTATAAACCTTTATCATATAAAATGAGCCTCCATAGCTCAGTGGTTACAGCACTGGTCTTGTTAACCAGGGGTCGTAAGTTCGATCTTCACGTCGGGCTGCTCGTAAAT